GGATAACTTTCTTTGGCCATGTTATTTTGAAAAGACATGATTGCTTTATTAGTATGCTTGAAGTATTATTGCCTTAATGTCAAATGATAGACTATTTCTCTGAGTCACTCGTGTCTTAATATTCATGCCATGATTAGATTACATGATCAAGATTATGCTAGGTAGCATTCCACATCAAAAATTATCTTTTTTATCATTTACCTACTCGAGGGCGAGCAGGAATTAAGCTTGGGGATGCCGATACGTCTCCGTCGTATCTATAATTTTTGATTGTTCCATGCCAATATTCTACAACTTTCATATACTTTTGGCAACTTTCTATATTATTTTTGGGACTAACATATTGATCCAGTGCCCAGTGCCAGTTCCTGTTTATTGCATGTTTTTTGTTTCGCAGAAAATCCATATCAAACGGAGTCCAAATAAGATAAAAACTGACAGAGATTTTTTTTGAAATATATGTGATTTTTGGAAAGAAGAATCAACGCGAGACGATGCCCGATGGGGCCACGAGGCAGGGGGGCGCGCCCTAGGGGGTCAGGCGCGCTCTGGGCCCTCGTGGCCACCCCGTAAGGCGGTTGGTGCCCTTGTTTCGCCGCAAGAAAGCCAATATCCGGATAAAAACCGTATCCAAAATTCAGCCCAATCGGAATTACCGATCTCCGAGAATTTAATAAACGGTGAAAGGGCAGAATCAGGGAGCGAGAAACAGAGAGAGACAGAGAGACAAATCCAATCTTGGAGGGGCTCTTGCCCCTACCATGCCATGGGGGCCATGGACCAGAGGGGAAACCCTTCTCCCATCTAGGGAGAAGGTCAAGGAAGAAGAAGAAGGAGGGGGGCTCTCTCCCCCTCTTTCCCGGTGGCGCCGGAACGCCGCCGGGGCCATCATCATCACCGCAATCTACACCAACAACTTCACCGCCATCATCACCAACTCTTCCCCCTCTATGCAGCGGTGTAACCCCTCTTTTACCCGCTGTAATCTCTACTTAAACATGGTGCTCAATGCTATATATAATTTCCCAATGATGTATGGCTATCCTATGCTGTTTGAGTAGATCAGTTTTGTCCTATGGGTTAATTGATGATCGTGATTGGTTTGAGTTGCATATTTTATTATTGGTGATGTCCTATGGTTCTCTCCGTGTTGCGAAAGCGTGAGGGATCCCCGCTGTAGGGTTTGCAATATGTTCACGATTTGCTTATGGTGGGTGGCGTGAGTGACAGAAGCACAAACCCGAGTAAGTAGGTTGTTTGCGTATGGGAATAAAGAGGACTTGATACTTTAATGCTATGGTTGGGTTTTACCTTAATGATCATTAGTAGTTGTGGATGCTTGCTAGAGTTCCAATCATAAGTGCATACGATCCAAGAAGAGAAAATATGTTAGCTTATGCCTCTCCCTCAAATAAATTTGCAATAATAATTACCGGTCTAGTTATCGATTGCCTAGGGACAAATAACTTTCTCGTGACAAAAAGCTCTCTATTGAAACTAATTTAGTTGTGTCTTTATCTAAACAGCCCCTAGCTTTTATTTACGCGCTCTTTATTATCTTGCAAACCTATCCTATCACACCTACAAAGTACTTCTAGTTTTATACTTGTTCTAGGTAAAGCGAACGTTAAGCGTGCATAGAGTTGTATCGGTGGTCGATAAAACTTGAGGGAATATTTGTTCTACCTTTAGCTCCTCGTTGGGTTCGACACTCTTACTTATCGAAAGAGGCTACAATTGATCATCTATACTTGTGGGTTATCAATGGTGGGTTGCGAGAGTGATAGAAACTTAAATCCCTGTTTATGCACTATTCCGTAAGGGACCGATTGGATCCTAGAGTTTAATGCTATGGTTAGAATTTATTTTTAATACTTTTCTCGTAGTTGCGGATGCTTGCGGGAGGGTTAATCATAAGTAGGAGGTTTGTTCAAGTAAGAACAGCACCTAAGCACCGGTCCACCCACATATCAAATTATCAAAGTAGCGAACACAAATCAAACCAATATGATGAAAGTGAGTAGATGAAATTCCCGTGTACCCTCAAGAACGCTTTGCTCATTATAAGAAACCGTTTTGGCCTGTCATTTGCCTCAAAAGGATTGGGCTACCTTGCTGCATACTTGTTACAATTATCGTTACTTGTTCATTACAAATTACCTCGCCATCAAACTACTCGCTACTTACAATTTCAGCACTTGCAGACACTACCTTACTGAAAACTACTTGTCATTTCCTTCCGCTCCTCGTTGGGTTCGGCACTCTTACTTATCGAAAAGAGTTACAATTGATCCCCTATACTTGTGGGTCATCACCCTTTTAAATATAATAGGTGCCACTGACATATGGTCCCCCACTGTCCAGTTGCCCAGTCAAACTGCTGACTGGATTTGACCCAGTCAATGACATGTGGGCCCCTTTGACCTAGTTGACGAGTCAGCGGTCAAAATGTTGACTGCTGACTGGGCTGCTGACTCAGCTCACCGACCCCACCAATCAGCCTCTCTGTTGCGTTGCTGGGTACACTTCTGGTGTACACCTAGCATTTTTCCAACTAAATTTCGAATTAATAAGAAATTCCAGAATTTCAAAAATTGATTAAACTTTGAAAATTAATATAAAATAATTCGTAAGTCAGATGAAAATACTTTATACATGAAAGTTGACCAGAAAAATGTTACGAATCCGAATACGCAGTTTGTTCGTCCGCCGCATGTCCCTAGCATAGCGAACCTGCAACCTTCCCCCTCCGGCCTGTTTGTCTGAAAACGCGAAACACCGGGAATACTTTCCCAGATGTTTCCCCCCTTCGCTGGTATCGCCTACTACTGCGTTAGGTCACCCGTAGCACCGCGTATTGCCATGTTATGCTTTGTGATGCTTTGATTGCTCTATTATTTATTATGTTCCCCCTCCGTTACCTTTTTCGGTAGACCCCGAGACCGCTGTCGATACCCCTGTGATCGACTACATCGACGACGACCCCTCCTTCTTGCTAGAGCAACCAGGCAAGCCAACCCTCCTTGTTCATCCTGATATCGCCTACTCTTTCCCTCCACTGCTTGCATTAAAGTAGTGTTACGGTTTCATCGATTTGATCATATACTGCTGCATAGCATGTCCTTGTTACTACTGTTGATACCTTTACGTGCAATCCTAAATGCTTAGTATAGGTTGCTAGTTTATCATCAGTGGCCTTACACTCTTGCCCGTCTGCCATGCTACACTACTGGGCCGTGATCACTTCGGGAGGTGATTATGGGTACATATATTATATACTTTTACATTATCTATGTGGATGATTCGGAGATGGGGGCTGAAGGGGAGGTGGTTCCACCCAGGTAGTGGTGGGTCTGGGTTCCCGGCAGCCCCCTGATGGTTACTTTGTGGCGGAGCGACAGGGCAGGTTGCGACCCCCTAGGAGACCAGTGGGCCGGGTCCCTGGTCAGCGTCTGTTCTTATTTTAAAATAACACATTTAACGAGATATGTATATTTGTTCTGAGTCTGGCCACTGGCCTATACACACTAACCAACTACGCATGAATAGCTATGGGCAGTCGACGTTGTGGTATCAGCCGAAGCCTTCTTGACGTCAGCGACTCAGCGGCGCGCGCCGGGTTGGACCGTGTAACACAACTTCCTTTGTAATGGAGGTTGCTAGGTCTGCTCACCGGCCGCGTACGCAACATGTAGGTGTGCAACGGGCTATGGGCCCAGACCCCTGCGCGCTTAGGATTTTGACCGGTGTGCTGACCTCTCTGTTGTGTCTAGGCAGGGTTGCGACATGTTGATCTTCTGAGGCCGGGTATGATCCAGGAAAGTGTGCCCGACCAGAGGGATCGAGCGTGTTGGGTAATGTGGTGCATCCCTGCAGGGAAGTTTATCTATTCGAATAACCGTGTCCCTCGGTAAAAGGATGACCCGGAATTGTACTTAGACCTTATCACAACTAGAACCAGATACTTAATAAAACACACCTCTTACAAGTTCCAGATACAACCCGGTGATCGCTTTCCCATAGGGCGACGAGGGGAGGATCGCCAGATAGGATTATGCTATACGTTGATACTTGGTGAACTTACCAGCTACTCTCTTCTACATGCTTCAATATGGAGGTTGCCAGAAGCGTAGTCTTCGATAGGACTAGCTATCTCTCTCTTATTCTACCATTCTGTAGTTCGGTTCACAAATACTACCCATTTCATTGATACCAATGCATATGTAGTGTAGATCTTTACTTGCGAGTACTTTGGATGAGTACTCACGGTTGCTTTGCTCCCCCTTTCCTCCCTTTCTATACCTGGTTGCTACGACCAGATGTTGGAGCCCAGGAGCCAGACGCCACCGTCGACGACGACCCCTACTGTACCGAGGGTGCCTACTACTACGTGCAGGCCGCCGACGACCAGGAGTAGTTTAGGAGGATCCCAGTCAGTAGGCCCGCGCCTTTTTCGATCTGTATCCCAGTTTGTGCTAGCAATCTTATGGCAACTTGTTTAACTTAATGTCTGTGTTCAGATATTATTGCTTTCGCTGACTCTTGTGTTTTCGAGCTTATGTATTCGAGCCATCGATGCCCCGGCTTGTAATATAAAGCTTGTATTATTTTAATTTATGTCTAGAGTTATGTTATGATATCTTCCCGTAAGTCCCTGATCTCGGTCATACATATTTACATGTATGATTAGTATACATTTAAATTGGGGGCGTCACAATGTGCTCAAAGGGATGATGAAATTGCAGATGCTCTCACATTTGTCAATCGCATCTCAAACGGCGCAGACTCCCGCTCAGACGCCCAATCAATCACCACCAGTTGGCAGGATTCCTTCATAACCATCGGATCGCACGATACCTGCTCGGATCCACCGTTCGTTCAAAATCCCACCGAGACGACCGAAGGGGGAGAGGGGGGCGAGCCTCAAATCTCGCCGCCGCCTCGTTTCGCGACCCCTCTCTTCCCCGAGCAAGAAACCCTAGCGCCGCCGCTCGCCGGCGATGGAGGCGCCGGACGAGGAGGCCGGCCTGGGGCTCCCGGAGGGCGAGCGGCTTCTGGAGGTCACCATCATCTCCGCGCAGGGGCTGAAGCCGCCTTCTGGACTTCGGCGGCGGTTGCAGGCGTACGCCGTGGCGTGGGTTGACACCGCGCACAGGCTCCAGACGCAACCCGACCGCTCTGGCGGCCCCGATCCGGCTTGGCACGAGCGGTTCCTCTTCCGCGTGCACGAAGCCGCGCTCGCCGAGGATTCCCGCGCTGCCGTCACCGTGGAGATCTACGCCTCACCGAACGGGGCCTGGCACATCGGCGGGGACTCCCTGATCGGATCCGCGCGGTTCCTCCTCGGCGACAACTGCCTCCTGTCCCGCCCCGTTGGGTCCCCAGCCATGTTCGCCGTCGGCGTCCGACGCCCCTCCGGCCGCGTCCACGGCCTCCTCAATGTGGCCGCTAGCCTGGTCGCTGCGCCGCCCTCTCCGGCGGCCTCCCACGCCCTCAGCTTCTCCCCCGCCGTCTCTCTCAGCGGCCTACCCCCTGCCGTCGCCATCAGCAGCCTCTCCACGGCGCCGATCTCAGGCCGCGTGCTGCGCGTCCTCAACCGCGCGCACCCAACACCCCCACCTTCTCCTAAGGTGCTCACGCCCAAGAAGCTGCAGGCCTCGGTGAAGCCTAACAATAAAGGATCGGACAACCAGCAGGTTGCGGTGAAGCCAAGTAACAAGCGTGAAGACGATGCCAGCGATCAGGAGGGGGAGGATGAGAACACGTACATGGGCGGGGTGATGTTTTGCGGGCCTTGTGTCTTACCATTCCCGAGAAAGATTCACACCAGCCCCTCTGACGAGAACCTGCAGGCCTTCGCTGGCATCTTCTCTAGCGGTGTTGGCATTGCCAGACGGAGCCCGAGCCCTCGGCACTGAGCCTATGCAAAACAGGTTCATTCTTTCAGTCGTTTACTTGATCTGTTGTGGAGATAATCTGTTTCTTGTTTTTGTGGATAATTAGTTTGTTGACGCTGAGGATACAGTATCACTTGTATCATAAGTTCATAACATCTCTTGCTATTATTGCAAGTATAGTACACCATTTTTTGTGTATGAATTCAGTGGAATTGTTGAGTGTTAGTTCTGCAAAAAGTGAGCCAGACCTTCAAGGAAGTGTGGAGTGTTATTCTGTCTTCTGGGCTTGATATTGGAAGATACCTGCTTCTTGTTTATATTGGATTTCAATGGGAGCAATACTCACATGCATCGAACAAGTCTGATTATTTCCATCCATCCTGACAGGATTTGTGGGTGTTACCTTTTTGTTTCATATGTATAAGTCGTCAATTACATCACTGCCGCAGATTTTTGAAGTTAGTAAATGCATGTCCCGTTTAGCTTTCTTGATGTGGTAGCTGTAATTGCACAGTTGTGTTGGGTGGCAGTGCCATTTCAATCTCAGATTGTGAAATATCTGTTCAAATGATAAATGGAGCTTTGGGTGATATAGTAGTAGCTATTTTCATATGATAGCTGTGATTTATGTTCCTTCTGTTTTTGTTCTAGAAGGTCAGCTTGTCGGCCGGTCACGGGTTCGAGTCCTGGAAACAGCCTCTTGCAGAAATGTAGGGAAAGGCTGCATACTATAGACCCAAAGCGGTCAGACCCTTCCCCGGACCCTGCGCAAGCGGGAGCTACGCGCACCGGGCTGCCCTTTAGGTCAAGCTTGTCGGCCAATCGCTACATGGCCAATTGGCAATTCATGTTTGATTCTTTATTTACTTGCTGAAATGCTGTATTCCGTCATGTGAATTTCAATGCAGAACACTATAATATCTCAATGGTCTGGCGTTGATAGCATCGCTGGTTTGTCACCCTCAATGTGTTGTATGCCCCTGTCATAGGAATTGGGCAAACATCATTTAACTTTAGCTTGTTCTATGGACATGATACATACTGACTCTGTCTATGGTACTACTACTAAGTGGCCTATAAACAGACAGAGGGAGTATTATTTACTGATGATTATTCCATTCATGCATCAAGACTCAAGGATAATTGACCACTCATGCATAGATTAGTTCAGATAGTTTTCATTGTTCAACATGCCTAGAACCATAGTATTTGCTCATCTGCCAGCCCCCTGAGGGCCTGTTCAGTTGACAGGGAAAATAGAAGGGTTTGGCAGGGATTGGCAGGGATTAGACCCTGTACAAGTCAAAACCTCCTCCAATCCACCCCAATCCCCCTGTGAGGAGGTGTAACCGAACAAAGCCTGAAGTAGTTCCAGGATCAATGTTCATCGTGTGTCTTAGACTGGTTTTCCCCTGGTTTGAAACGAGGGAGATCATTCAGGGTGTACGCAGACCATGTTTAAAGGCCCAAGTTCCAAGTGATTTTCTCAAAGGACTTCAGGCTGCATGCACCAAGTTGGGCCATAACCTCTTATTTGCCCTGGGGTCTAGAATGCGCATCACACTGATGGGAGCCCATCATGGAGCCTGTGAGTGTAATCTTGTTGTATTTTATTTAATTTTGGTATAATCAAACATAATTTTTTGGAAGTTTTTTCCTTTAACCCTTCAGTCTTTCGTTTACACATCCATCTGAATACACCTAATTTGGAGAAACTACATGTTTAATAGGCATATGGCTCATATCAGTTTCTCTTATGGAGGACAGATACAATTTGTTTGGCACTTTTATCCTTTCCAACTTGATATCGGTTAAGTGTTCATTGACTTTCTATTCAATAGATTTCGTTGATTCAATAATTTAGAACTTGATGGATAGTCAAACTTTTCGAACATGGAGTTTTCTTGGAAGTGTCTGGTATGAATCATTAGTTGTGACTGGAAATTTCTTATGCGCAGTCTTTAGGTTCTGGTGATATGATTTATTTATTTATTTGCACTATATACTTACTCTACTTAGAAGCTGAAGGTGTTAGGACTTGGGACATTTACCAGTCACAGATTTTGAGAACATCAAATTCTGATGAGTTTCTTTTATGATGGACTGTAGATCTTGTGAAGCATGTCTGATCTTATTTGTTCACTCAACTGTGTGATCTTGTAGACCAGGCACTCGGTTTGTTATGTACTAATCTTCTCAAGACCTGGTTAATCTGTTTAATTTGGTTTGGCTAATGATTGAATACAACATGTTTTTTTTTACTGATTGTATTCAGTTACCAGCTCTGCATGATCTGTTTGCCAGTAGCTGTGCTAAGGGCCTACAATACTAACAATTGAATATGAAGAGCAACCATCAAATATGCCTCTTTCTACTTGTATGCATAATGGTGGTTTGTAGCCTCCTTTGTTCTAAAGTTGTCATTATAGTTTTCTTCGGTTGGTCGTGTGTGTGATTGTGCTGTCCAAAATCCACCTGCTTTATATGGCAGGATCCCGTGTTCTGATTTCGACTCTTTCTCTCATAGCTCTTTAGAGTGACTCATCAAGTAAGGTATAAACTGTTTGAAAGTTGAGAACTGAATCGGCCACTTGTTGCCTTAGATTCACGTGGATTTACTTGTTCCTGTGCTTATTGCGCTTATTGGACACTGCATAAGCATAACCATAAAGAAGTGCTACTTGTTGATTGTGACCTTTACGTCAATGGCCGCTCCATCGCACCTTTAACAGATTTTCTTTATGTTGCAAGTCCTTGCCATGTCCCTCTTCCAATAGTGTGAGCCACACAAACCTGATTCAAGTTACTCCACTGACGTAACATTGTGTCTTTTGTTTGGTCCTGTGATTGCTTGAATTATTTTCTGTATGCTCAGTTGGTTGATCTGGATCCCATTCGTTCCTTTGCCTTTACAGGAAGAGCCGCTCCCATTTCATTAGCTTTTCAAGTGCAATTTGGAGAAGAATTTCGAGGAGCTGGTGAGCATCAAGCACCTCACAGAATGTTCCAATATTCAATTCTGCACTCGGCATGTCGGGCCGGACCCTTTCCTTTAGCAGCTTAGCTGCTCATTTGCAAATATCACATTTGGGGACTAGTTGTCGTCTCCTGGTTCTTCTGTTCTTGATGCTTTTGCATATACGGTATATATGTACTACATTCCATGGGACGTAACTTTATCAGGTTGAGATGTTTAGGACAAATGGTGTGCTGTGATGCCACAACTGGAAAGCTTAGCACAAATGTGGCGAGCAAAGCATGCTCTGCTTTTCCTGATGGACATCTCCTGCCAATATGGCATTACATGGTGCGGTAGTAGATGCCCAAGGGCGGCGAGGGGAACTGTTTCTAGTGGGCTTGCCACTCACTGCCCCACTGAGCTTTACCCTTCGTGTTTCAACTTTTTAGTACGTTTTTGTGCTTGTGCATATCAACAAAGATGTACTTAAAGTAGTTCGCGCCACAGTTTCAGATAGCACAGCTTATCATTGATAGTCTGATACAACGAAATTTATAATGATTTGTGGGGTTTCCCTGAGGAAATACACTTTGGTTTCTGGTTGTATATAGACCCTATATGGAATTTTCTTTTTAATAATTAAACAAAATGTCAAAATAGCTAAGAACTATTTTTAGAATAAACTTGACTTACTTGCGCACTATTATATAAATTTTCACAAAAAAAAACCAACGTTTACTTCACAGCGAAAAAGACAAAATTCATTTGCTATTATAGGTCACTATTCACGCTATTTTGGCAAAAAAATGTCTTTTTTGAAAAGAAGTCAAAGAGGAATTTTCCTTTTTGTGGTACTTTTCTCATGAGTACAATGAAAGGTCAAGTTTATTTAAAAAATATTTTCAGAATTTTTTGACTTTTTCTCGAATTACTATTTTTTTCTATATAAGGTACATATGTACCATAGATAGGGCTGGAATTTGAGCCGAGTCGAGCCAACTCGACTCGACTCGCTAGAGCTCGTTTCGTTAACGAGCTAGCTCGACTCGACTCGTTATTATTAACGAGCTCAAATCCAAGATTGGCTCGGCTCGTATAACTCACGAGCTGGCTCGTTTAGCTTGTTAAGCTCGTTAAACATATGAACATAAAACCCTCAAATATTATAAAAATTATTATGTATATATTAAACATATATATCACTAAACAATAGTAATTTCCTTGTAACGCATGAGTCTCCTAGGCGGTTGGGCCTTCAACGGCTAGGCCTTGTGTTGTGCGCCTGGGACATAGGGTGCTGAGTGGCTGATCTTTTTTTATATTGGGAGTGACTGATCTTTTGTACCGAGCATAACGAGTTACACGAGTACTCGTGAGATTGGCTCGTTTAACTTGGTATATAAACGATCTTAAACTAAAGCTCGACTCGACTCGTTATTCTTCGAGTTCGAGTCGATTCGAGCCGAGTCATGAGCTACTTGTTTAGCTCACGAGCTTCGAGCTTTTTTTCCAGCCCTACCCATAGACCAAACGTCCGCGTCTGGTTTCCCTGGTGTTATAACTGCTTGTAAACTTTTTTCCAAGAACGCGCAAGAGTGTTCCATTTTTTTTTGCGGGATAGCGTCCCATTTATATTAAGAGGAGAAGTTGACCATAGTTACATGTAGGTGCGCCAGAGGCAGCCTCCTGCACCACCAGGACAAACATGAAGATAACTATCCTCCTACAGCCCCATCAGACCTAGCCATGGCTAGTTTCTGTTAGGAAATATGCAGCTTGTATTCATATGAGACCATAGGCCAGTATATACATATACAGGTGCAAGAAATATACAGAAAACCCTTTATACAATAGGGTAAATACAAAAAGATACATGGCTATATATATGTACCCATGTGGGTAGGAGTACGTACTCCTAAGAGTACCGACAGGATGACAATAACGCGTCGAGTTAGACAAGGGGTCACCATCTGTATTATGGAGGTGAACATTGAGCTCCATGGGAGTCTCAACAGTACGCTCATCAGTAAGAGCAACACGTGCAAAAGGTTCTGGATATACT